AACTGTGACAAGAATAGAACCACGCATGTCTAAAAGAAGTTTTCTATGCACCACTACAAATTAAGTAATTAGAACAGTATTATGTATATGAAACACGATTTTCATGCCCACCTTCATCTTCATTGGTTTTTGGCCTTCTCCCAAAAATGAAGAATGCTGCAAGAAACAGAAAGCTGACAACTCCAACACCAACAATAACCCCTACAATCAGACCAGTTCTGCTCTTGCTGCTGCTCGGAGGCTTATTACTAACAGTAGGTTTGAAATCTGTATAAAGATTCATGCATCAACCATCAACCATACCACACTTATATGCAAGGATAAAGAACAAAACAAAGAAAATTTGTAAATTATCCTACTTGGAGTAGCACTGATTGCTGAAATCAAAGGTCCATATGTGCCTTGATATGGTATACAGCAAGTCCCCTTTCCAGCCCAAAATAGATGAATTTCAAGGTAGTTTTCAGATACCTGGGCTGTAATATCTTTCGTAACACCTTGTCTAGAGTATCCACCTGCCTCCTTCAGTATGTTAAAATCCTTAAAAACACGATTCCCCTGTAATGAATTAAGTCAAAACTTAAGCAGAAAATGAAGATAAGGAAAATGTCATTCTTATAAGAAAGGAATGAAATATAATTCACCAAAATTTCAGTCACTGCTCTTAACCAGATCGTAGCTGCGATTTGAAAATTTTTGTAATTTCAACATTTATTTGGGAAATTGCTCAGGATCCAGAAAACAAAAAGGTTCTAAAGAGCCAGTGGCAATAATTGTTTGGAAGATAGTTTTAAAAATGGTAGGGATAATTGAATCTAGGAATTTAGGAATTCAAAAGTCATTATCCAATGTTTTCTAAAAGCAATTCATTAAATGTGTTAAATCATATTCAGTTACAGATTCCAGAAAGGTTAAGAATTCTATTCTGTTAAATGCAGTGAACTTTGTTACAGTAACCCTTCCGGGCATCATGAACTAGGATGGATCAAGGCCTATTGGCAATAAGGATAGTATTATAGTTTGTGTGGTAAAAGTTGAAGAGCAGTCTGATAGAACAATTCAGTAATATACACACCTGGACATATATATCAAAAATTCGTTTCCCAAGACTTTGCCATGTGGTGGAATCCTCAATCGCAATTTCTACAAATTGGAGGCTCACAGTATAATTGCCATTCTCAAGCCCCAATCCATAGTACCTTAGTGAGGAAGCAGAGATCCGTGCTCTCTGAAACAACTCTAAGTCTAGATTTTTTGTAGATTGAGAATTTTGGCTCCTAGTAAAATATCCAACATTACTGACCGCCCACCTCTTTGTGTCAGTCACAAAATATGAGGCTGGGCCAAGAATCTCATCATCCCTCTCAAACACAACTCCATCCGAGGATCTAATCTCTTGACCACCACACTTAATTGCAAAGTTATAATCTGTTAGAACAAAATGAAAGAGGAATTCAATAATTTAACTCAGGAGAAAGGTTTCCTAACTCGAATGCATTGATCTATGAGCAGTGCTAGGGGCACTTGCCTCCTGCACTCTCCAGCCAACACATGCTTTTTTATTGGGCCACGTAAGCTTGCTTCCGCTATGAAATGATTACCTCTCCTGAACCAACATAACGTGGCCCAATGAAAATGGAAGTGTTGGTTGGAGAGTGCAAATGGCGAGTGTTCCTAGCATTGCTCTTGATCTATTTACATGCTTAACTTTACAATGCTCATCAAACTCTAAATTTTTTGGGCTTCTAGATCATATTCCTAAAGTGCTTATCTATAAGTTTGGATTTTACAACAAAAAAATCTACTATTTTTGGGGCTGTATCCATTTCTTGTAAAGCCAGTTTATTTCTATCCCAGCACAAATGGCCAGCCTATGACCTAACTGATGTTATACCATAAAGTAAAATAGGTTAAATTTGTGAAAATTCTTCTGTAAAAAAAAAAAAAAAAAAAAAAAAAAACACTTTGTTTCCTTCAATTATATCTCTTACACCCAATTTGCTTTTGGTAACTGGCAATTTCAATTTAATTTGAAAACCTTTGGACAATAAATAAGACGAGCCTCTCTATGACTCCATGGATTATTAATTGGTTTTAGGTTGAATATGTGAGCCTAGGCCCCATTTCTCATTTGGTTCCCTTCATTTTCCAAGTGAAAATTAAGCCTATGTCTTGTCTTGTTCTACCATGCTTATGTGATGGCTATTTTGGTAATACACCTCTGGATTTACAGATAAGATGTGCCTCTCTCCACATTTTCCAAGCACCTACCATTCAATTCCACAATCCTGCGAATTAAATGCACTGATCCAATACTTATTTTTACCTTACCTTTAATGGCTTTTAACTGCAAAATACTGCAAAAGAATGATAAGAGATTGTAGCAGTTTTTAATCCATCCCAACAAACAATGATTTAGAATTCAATTTTTTGTTAATAAATCAACTAAAAAAGATCATTCATATTGTAGCTTCAATTCCATTCTCATAAACAAAGGCAAAAGTTTTAACTGTACTTACATCTTCCAGAACCACGATTGCAAGGAAAATTCCGTTGAAGACAGTTGAGTCCTGAGGGCAAGCCACTGAAAGTAGAAGAAGAATGCAGTAGGACAAGTATCGTAATTACATGTTTAGTAACATTTACAATTTAATCATTTAAAAACCCACATAGAAAACATCTTCCAAATTCATGAAATGAATACTGATCTTCCATTCTCTTTTCAATATTTATTTATTTATTTATTTTTGTTGTGTGTGTGGACTAAAAGAGGAGAGGAGGCTCAAAGGGAAAGGATGTATATTATTATGAATTCACTAGACTCTTCTCTCTTCCTCTTAAGAAAAAATAATTTGACAAAAGTTGCATTCAAAAAAACAAAAATTACAACACAGCATATTAGCATGGTGAAAGCTTTGTAAATAGTGATTATAGACTATTGTGAAAAGCAGTAACATCACTTTTAGCAGCCTGTGGCCCATGATCAAGTAAGTTAGTTGACAACAACACAATTAGAAAGTACATTGGATTAGAGAGAAAATATCTAAGTTAAGGGATTGGCTTTGAAAGCATTTAAAAGTAAATACAACACCTAGAATTACCTGTTGCTTGAAGATTCTATGGTGAAGTTGTTGGCAACTAAATTTCTGCATGTTACACAACGTAAAGATAACTATTTAGTTTCACCATGTAACCATAGGTTGGATGCAAACCCATTTCACAAATTGGAATTTCTCTATGATTATTTGGCATTTATAATACTCAAAGAGCTAGCAAATAATGTTTTCTTAGAAAAATGCATATAATATTAAACAACAAATTTTAAAATATAAACACTTCCTTCGTCCAGCATATTATATTAGTGTTTCAAACTTTGTAGTTCAAAACCCTATTAGAGAAACATCATTTACTGTAATCTCATGGCTAGTGGAATTATTGTTTTTAAAAACTAATCCCAAGTAAAAGGGATTTTTTTAAAACCATTTTAGTGAAAAAAAATTAAAATGAAAAGGCTAATTTTGTAAAATTAAACAAATTAGAACTTCACTTTATCAAATGGACAAATTTTTGGTACACCTCAAAATGTAAAGGCGGCAAGTTGACAGGAAGAGTATGAAAGAAACCATAATTGTGAAATTTGATTTTTCATGTATATTATGCATGAAAATATAAACCTGAAGAAGACTTACAGTGATAAGTTCTGTCCATTAACCCAAGGAGGAAAGCTCCCAGCTAAATTATTGTATGACACATCACTACAAGCACAAAGACATGAAAATGCTTAGTGCATAATCCAGCAAAATCATGAACAACAGCCTGAATAACACTAAGTTTTCTTGGCCAAAATTGACAGTACTGAGCTCAAGCATGAATTAAATCACAACCACTATTAAATCAAGACATTTCTAACATTATCCAAAACCTTCATTTATTTACTTTTCTTGGCCAAAAAACGACAATTCTACTTCCTTAAATGGAGTATAAACATGAAGCAAGCTGTAGACATAAGGAGCTTGTAGAGGTGTTGCTCAACTATTTAAGAGTCTGAGATTCCAACTTAGAGATCTCAAATTTGAACCTTGAGCTAGGGAGAAAGGGATTTGGGAATAGGGGAGAGCTATCTCCTCTTGTATAGCTCATCAACAACTTAAATGGAGCAAGCTTTTCAACATTTCTCAATAGAAATATTCATTTTAATTTTTTTTCTCTATAACACATATTTATTATTTTAAAATCTAGAGTAATTTGCATCATAGACCATACATCATCAGGACAAGTCCATTTTCTGCCTCTGATTATGCCATCTTTCCTACTTTGGAAGAGAACAAAGGAAAGACTAGAATCAAAGACTTTTAGAGCATTTAAGGCATCCAACCTATAAACCAATTGGAAATAGGTGCAGAAGCCCCCTTTATTTATAAGCCCACATATTATCTCAAACTTAATTGATGTGGGACTTCCCACTCCACAAACCCCCTTGTGTGTAGACCTAGTGGAATGATACATAATGGGCTTGAGAAGAAAGAGTATATGACTGTCATACCTTGGTAACAGAGAAGGGGAGAAAAGGGTTGAATAACAAGGTAAACGTCAAAAGGGGTTCAAATCATGACATTTTACAAAAGGGAAAAAAAAAGTCCTTTGAGATAACATAATGCTAAGAGGGGACTTGAGCATGTATGGCCCTTGTAGACACCTCTTACACATATCACTTACACAAAATCTAGATCATTCATCTCTCCACAATGAATGGTTGGGATTTTACTTGCTTTTTATCTTATCTTTTAAAGATAATTGGTTTTTTCATCTTAAAAATCATGACAAATCTCAACCACTCATACTAGAGAGATGATTGGTATATGTGTAAGAGTTGTGTGTCCTCATATATATAGATAGATAGAAAGAATAGTGCATATCCATGGAGTCCTAATCCAAAAATACCATACTCCAATATCTTAGAAAACCAATCGTTGGATTTGGGACTGATATATTTATATATATATGAGTTAGGATCTGCTTACAAACAACTCTTACATATATCACTTAAATAAAATCTTGATCATTCATCTCTTAACTATGAATGGTTGATATTTATCCACTTTTTATCCTATTTTTTAAAGATAATTTTTTTTTCATCTAAAAAATGATGATAAATCTCAACCATTTATAGTGGAGAGATGAACGGTCAAAATTTTGTGTAACTAATGTATGTAAGAGTTGTGGGTAAAAGGATCCTAACTTTAAATAACCACCATCAGATAATTTTGCTTCTTAGTGATAATGATATTCATGTTGGTTGGAAAGATGTTAGATACACTTACATATTGAGAAGAGATGGACTTTTTTGTGCAGGAAGAGTGCCATTCAACTTGTTATTTCCAAGAAACCTAAACAAGAATGAAGTATCAACATATGCTTCAACATAATAAAGTGAGTTTAGGAGGCATATGGAAAAAGTAACCAGACAAAATCATATCTTACAAATGAGTTATTGAACTTAAATTGAAAAGTGAGTTTGGAATCTGCCCAGATATATCGTTGAAGCTCAAATCCCTAGAGGAACAGTAATTTTCATTATGAGAAACATGAAATTACAAAGAATAAATAAGTAACAAACTTAAAAAAAGATAATAATACAAACTGAAAGACTTGACTCATGCCCACCACACCACAACCACCTTTATCACAATAAAAATATTCAATAATAATAATAATAATAACCAGCTTAATTCAGAGTTTTAAGAGTAAAGCAGTTGTTAGCCTAATTCTAAGCAAACAGCTTTAAGTTACAAAAAGTGAAAACAAAAGAAATGAAATTGATGGGAGTTCGAAGATGAGGATATCTGCTTATTAATCAAAAGAATTAGAAGATTTGAAACATAAAAACTCATTGTTTGCTTCAATAGAAGGTCCTAATTCACTCAGGTTTGTAAGGTCACACTACTAAAAAGCTATTGTAGACAAGAATAAAAGGGATAAAATTGTAATGGTAAAGCCAAGTCTGCTCTAACATGATTATGGATCAAAAGAATCCTATTTTGGTTGCCTAATAGGACATTTGAGATGGTAGAAATCATATCTAATCCACAAATTACATGCTAAAAAAAAGACACTATCTGTTAAATACTTAATTTTATAAACAGTATAAATGGTCTTCTACAAGGTGTTTTGCTATCAAGTTAGAAATGATAAATCAAATAGTCTACAACCTAATTCAAAGTTCAATTGACTCAAAGAAAAACCAAATCAATTAGTTTCATCGCTAGCCTAAATTGTATTTAAATTGGAAACCATCAACTGGCAATTACTTACAGCTGTGTCAAACTATGGTATTCTCCAATATTTGATGGAATTGTATCAGAAATGTTACTGTTCCTTAATTCTCTGCAAGACATGTGACTATGTTATTGGAGACCAAAGAAAGGAAGAATGAACTTTAGTGTGTGTTTGACAGGAAAAGAGAACAAATTCAACTAGATGGCAAATCTGGACCATCTTACAGGATGCTTAAGGACTTCATGTCCTTAATAAATTCCAGCGTAGAACTTCCATTAAACAAACCATTAATCCTCCTATATGTATATCAAAATTCACATGAGATAGTTAGCAATAGAAATCTTCAATATATTGACAAAAGTTAACCGCAAGGAGCAGGGGTACTCACAACTCTGTCAATGAAGTTAGATTAGCAAAGGTTGAAGGTATTGGACCAGTAAAAGAATTTCCTTGAAACCTCCTATAACAAAATAAAAGAATAAAAAATTATAATAGTGAAAAGAGTGAAGAGAACAGTTCAATTTATCAAGCCCCAAATCATAAAATAATAATGATAAATTATAGGTTCAAGAGGCTTTATATAACTGAAGCATCATAAATATATGTATATATATAAGAGAAAAACAACGATAATACTATAGTTCTCTTACAAAGTCTTAAGTTTTGACCAATTCCCAATAAACTCAGGTATCCTGCCTGTGAGTTCAGTGTCAGATGCCCATCTGAAATACATGGATGAAATGCTTAAAACACTAATGTAATATTTTTCTCCTAGGTTGCGTATAGTTTCAGAATTTTCAAGTGAAAAACATTTAAAAAGCTCTTACACTGTAGCTAGATTTTTTAGACTAGCAAATGTCGAAGGAATGTCACCACTAACTCCAGAGCTATCGATGTAACTGCCAACGAAAGAGATATTTGAAGCTAAGTACATGTGTGTGTATGTACTCTACACAAATGCAATGAGCTTAATGATAATAGCAAACTAAATAAGGATCTTAGAGAATTCAAAACCATTTCAGAAATAATGTTTGTAATAAAAGAAGCACATCATAAAGTTCAACACAATTGATGAATATTTCTTCAATTGCCAAGTACACAATCATTAAGAATGATTTTTAACATCAAAAGAGGTTCCATACATTAAGATTAACAAACATGTAAATGCTTTATATAAATCATTTTTTTTATGCATCAGATGATATGATAAAACACAAAGAAGGTTCTAAATGGGTATAGACATATGAAAATTTTTCTTAAAAAGGATTTTGAAGATTTAAATCAGTGAATTAGTAATTAATTTTAAAAATTGATGGAGAATACCAAATTCTTCAAAACACTAAAATTAAATTGTATTAGCATACTCAATTTTAATTTTTCATGAAGAAGTTGGGTCTACTGCATTTTGTTTATTGAGGCATTTATTCATGCATCTGAATCTCCAGTAAATATGCTTGTTATCAAGCTTTCTTAAGTTTCATTTTAACTACTCTGTCTTCATCGAATAATTATCACTAGCATGACAAAATATTTCTTCAACCTCAAGTGGGTTTTCTTTATCTTTGCTTTCTTCAGCAGCCTATGGGAACTCATTGTTGGACCTAACTAAGCTAAGGTTCAAGTTTCTAATTACCTCTCAAATTCCTTGGTTTACAATAAAGTCCACAGCACTATAATCCTCGCAAATTGAAGGGTAGATTTTTTTTTTTTTTTAATGATAATAATGTTTCTAGTAATAGATGTTCCAAAATAACTAGCATCCAGCTCACCAAAATTCTAGTCTTATAATTATCAGCTATCAATTGAAACAAAAAATGATTTGTAGAGCACTGAAAATAGAAAGCTAAGTATGTTGTGCATCAAAAGTCAAAACTTACAGTTGTTCCAATCTCAAACAATTCCCAAGCTCAGATGGCAAAGGACCAGAGAAGTTATTTGAACTAAAT